GATTAGAGCCTACCCTATAGCCTCATTAACTTAATCATCTTTCCCTATCTCCAAACACAGTTAGTCTAAGCTATTGAGGGTTAAGCTTCAGCCTGAGAATTTGAAGCAGAGACCCACTGTTAGGCCCATAAAAAGCAACCCAAACATATAAAAAGCAACCCGTGCTATGCTGCCCTTGGCCATGGTTCTGCAACATGCTGACCTTTACAAGCTTTGTTCCCAAGCCCTCAGGCTCCCAGTCCTACTCACCTTACCACTTACCCACCTGGCTCGCCAGCCCATGAAAGCAGAATGTGGCCCAGTGCTAATGGAACAGAATGACCCTGGGAACCACGGGGCCCTGGGGGTTAGGGAGAACATGCAGCCCGCACAGTCAGGGAGACTTCAGTGAAAGTGCTCCAAGAAGGAGAGAAAGGTGCAGAGGGGCAGAATCAGCAGCGATTAGGGACTATCTTAGACTCAATAATGGGGAGCTTTTTCCTTGAGTTATAAAACAGTGAGTTCAGTTCATCTTTGGGAGACACTCATCAGACTGAGTAACGATGCCACAAGAAAGGAATCTCAGATTTAGCTGCAGTCATCTTAGGTAGATGTGTTTTCTCAGACATCCTTTAGATAGGCCCATCCCGGGCCCTACAGTCTGACAGCAGCAAAAATAGAGGCAAGTCTGTCAACTTGCAACCTGCAGCGCTCAAAGGAGTTTCCACTCATCTGACCTGACCTGGGCTGTGCCCTCCTGAGCACTGTGAGAACACTGCAGCTGGCATGGTCAGGGCAGCCTTTGGAGGGACAGAAACATCAGCTGCAGGTGTACTTTGTGCTCACTCTCCCTTTGACCCTCTCATTTTTCTCACGGAGCCCAACAAGGTTTATGAGGAGAGCTTTGCAAGTATTCAGCTTTTATCACCTGTCAAGTCAGTACGTAGCGGGTAAGGTGAGCAGAACCAGCAGCCTAGGGGCCCAGGAGGACACCTTTGGCTTGAAAGTGTCTCATTGCCTCCCGTAACCTGCATGAGAAGAGATCCCCCTGCAGCTCCCTTTCTCATAATCCCTCACCTTCCCCTTTCCCAGTAGGAACAAAAGCAGAAGGTATTCCGCCTGCTGACAAATATGTGTGGTTTTGTTCTTGGGAAAATAGGAACTGTTTCAGGGAAAGGAAACTGCCGGCCAGGATGCCAGAAGCCTCCAAGGTGGATCTGGGATTGTGATGGGAACCTGCAAGCCCTGCCCTTCACCTGTGGGTGAAGCGCTACTCCTTCTCAGCAAAGGCTTATGTCATGGGGACTTCTTTGTGGGTTAGCTAGAGATATACCCAAGCCTGTCCAGCAGCTTTGCCTTACATTCTTTTCTGAGTCTTAAGACCCAGTCAGAAACACCAGGAGTCTGAGAAAGGGTGGCAGATCTAGATCTCTGGATTTACATGAGCATCCCTGGCAGGAAACCAGGAAGAATAAGCAGATCCAAGATAAGCAGTGGTCCAGGTGGGATTGAGCACCAAGTCTAAACCCTCGGGGAGAAAAAGGCCCTTGGACATGGTGCTGTTGAATGCAATTGTGGAGCCCCTTCCCCGTCTCTGCTGTCCTTACACAGCCTCATTTAGGCCCCTTGCTTAGGGGAAGATATTCCAATCCCATTTTTCAGTGAGGAAACTGAGGCCTTGAGAGGTTGCATGACTTGTCCTGTCCTCATAAGCATCAGAACTAGACTGGGGGCTCAGAACTCCACATCTCCATCTGCCCATCAAAATCCTGCCCTTCTCCCCTGCTGCCTGTCCCCTCCTCCACACATACACACATTGCAGGGCGGAGAGGTGGCTTGCCATCCATCCTGGCAGTGATGGAACAAAGAAAGTGCCACAGTCAGCTGCACAGGTGGACCTGGCAGTTGTGCCAGGGACTTGTTAAGCAACCTCCATACTTGGTTCTGCCCAAATGGTGGCATACAAAGGTGCACAGCCCCTCTCCTGTGGTGCATGTGACCAGGTGTCCAGCTATTCTCAGGATTGAGGTGGCAGGCAGAGAAGGAAACCAAGCTCTTGTCAGCTGCTAAATCAGAAGAGGATGTTGGGCAAGAGCCAGCAGGGGCATCAGGCTTTGACCCCCTTGGCCTCTGTTCAGCCCCCACCGTGCACGGCCTCCCTTCTTGGCCACTAGATACACAGATTGAGGTACAAAGCTTATGCTCTAGAATCAGACACATCTGAACAAGTCCCTGGCCTGCCACCTCCAGGCTTCATGGCCCATAGCAGTGCAGTCCCTGAACTCAGTCCCCTCTCCTGTGCAGAAGAGACTGGAATAGCACCTGCCCACTGGGTTCTTAGGAAGAGTAGATGAGAGTCTTTTATGCAGAGAACTGAGCCACAGCCTGTCACCTAGAGCCTTCTCTAGAGGTGAACTGTTTCCCCGATGTTCAACACTGATTTGCAGTGTCAGGAGCTGAGCTGTGTGTGTGTCCACTGCTGTGCAAGACCTCAGTACCTTGCACACCGCAGCCCCATCATCTTCTTCAAAGAAAGTTTCTCCTCCAGATACCTGGTTGACTCGGGAGCTGAAACTTGCCCACAGAGCAAATGAGCCCACAGAGCCTCTTTGCCAGTAATTGCTTCAGAACTAGTGCTCGTGGTCAGAGTGGGGGAACTGTGGTCATCAGCCAGGAGACTGGATGCCTGGTATCTCAGAGACAAAACAAGAACAGGATATGGTTATAAAGCCACCTTGTGCTTGGGTTAACCCAAGATCTCTACCTTCAGACAAGTGCAGAGTTAGCAGGCACCCTGCTGTGTGAGCTGTCACAGGTATTAATCTCTCTGAGCTCATTTTCTCATCTGAAAAATAGGTATGATGGTGTTAGCCTTCCTATCAAATGGTGTTTTTCCTTCTGTGGCCACCATCTTCCCACCAGTGTGCTCACCGAGAACACCTGGGTGGCCAAGGGGCCCCTGACACGGGATCACCTTGTGTTTAGCACATCTCAGATGATGCAGGCCTCTGGCCTCTACTACATCTCTCTCTGGGGCTGGAGCCATGAATGTTACTACCCCTATAAGCTGGGAGTTTGTTGGGGTGTTGCACGTTTTTTACCCTCAGACCCCAGGGGAGTCTGGATTCCAGTGGATCCTCATCTACCTGGCCTCCTGCCCCCAGTCCCCCTTGCATCCTAAGCCTTTGACACCATGTTCTGCTGTGAGCAGCCAAGGCAGGGAGGAGAAGAGCAGGTCTGAGGTTGAGAGCTGACTTTGCCCTCCCCTGACTCAGGCTCCTCCTCTGTGGAATGGAGGCTGTTACAAGAGCATCTTGGACTTCCTAGACTGTGGTGTGGATAGAGCCGAGGGCAAGATGCGAAGCTCTCTGTAACCTACATGTGCTGTGCTAGTGGTTATTGCCAGTGATGACCCAGGTCTACTCTCAAGTGTAGAGTACAAGTACCCAGAGTGGACCAGCGAGTGTCGGAGGAGATAGAGGAATTGAAGGAAGATTCTGCTGCTGTCCTGGGGACAATCAGGCAGCATTTTTCTAAGCTGTGGAAGGACCTGTACAAATGATTGGGAGCTTGGGAGAGGACACACTCCAGTAGGTACCCTGTCTCATTTGACTTACTCTGCAGGCAGGCACTCGGTCAGGGAAAGCCCGTGGCCCCAACAGTCCCCCTCCATTGCCATGCTCATGTTGGCTCACACATGGCCCTTGGACTGCACTCCATGCCTCATGGCCACCCCAGTTGTGTGAATGGTGAACCAAGCCTTGGGGATGCTGCGTGACTTGGCCAGGGGTGCCCAGGAGGGAGTGTTGCCCAGCACTGGCTGAGTGCCCAAGCCCTGCCTCTCTCTTCCAAGACACTGTCAAGGAAGCTGGAGTCTGTCTAGTGGCCGCTCTGTCAGAAGTGTTCCTCATTAAGATAAGTGCACAAAGGGGGTTGACCAAAACTCCCCCTGAAAGCCCATTAGAGGATAGAAGTCAGCCTTGCCACCCTGCAGAGTGCAGACTTGGTTGTTTGAGGAGGCGCTTGGTCCATGTGGCCTGAGTGTAATTAGGAAGTTCTCCTCATGGATGCATGTGGCATGTTTATGAAACAGCATGGAATCACGTGGGCCTTTCAAGGCCTGGCCTGTGCTCAGCTGAACCACACCTCGGGAGGCACACCGCTGATGTAGAAGGCTTCCATTCTGCTTCAATAGGTCGCATAAGAAAGAATAACTACTCCTGGCTTGGGGGTACTCTTACCCACGAATGCAAACTGTGCCAGGTGCTTTGCTTTTATTATCTCAAGTCCCCCTCATACCAGCCCTGAGAGGTAGGTGCTGTTAAGATCCATGCCTCACCAAAAAGAAAGAAGTAGCGGGCAGAGGTTGGGATTTGCTTAGGGTCTCGTCAGCTGGTAAATATCAGGGATTTAGCTCTGACCTGTTGTCTGTCTGACCCCCAGACCACATGGTTGAGCTAGTCTGGCCTCCCTTACCTCCTGGGGGACTCCACTTAGCTGTTACAAATGATTCTCCACATTTTGGACAGTGATTTGAGGAATGCGTACACCCAACAATTACCTTTAACCTGTTTATTAGATTGTCAGGATGTAATGAACTTTTGTAAAGTCTGACATTTAAAACTCTCTCATCCTGTGGCTGTATTATAGAAGCTGAACAGAGGTACCCCTCATTTTGGGAAGGAGGCTAGAAACCACAATGAAAGAGCAGGGTTATTACCATTGATGTGTTCATTTCCTTCACAGACATTGCCCCAGAAGCTTGCAGTTTTAACTTATTTCTTGTGTTCTGAGCCTAAAAGTAACTGGATTTTTAAAAATATATTTTCATACATCTTGTGTATTTTTTTATTTGTTCCTTTTAATTATACATGATGGTAGAATATAATTTGACATACATACGGAGTATAACTACCCATTCTTGTGGCTGTACATGATGTGGAGTTGCATCGGTTGTGATTTCATATATGAACATAGGAAAGTTATGTCCGATTCATTCTATTGTTTTTCCCATTCCCATCCCCTCTCCATTTCCCACTCCCCCACCCCCCGACCCCATCCAATTCAGTGAACTTCCATTCCTCCCTCCCAGTAACTGTTTTTTGTGTGCTCAAACACCAGCATTAAAGTTGAATGCTCCTAAAGGTAAAAGTAGTTTGAAGACTAAGATTTTTATTTCTTGGTCATGAAACTGATACGCCGTCTGATGTGTGTGGGTGTGTGCGTGCACATTTGTATATGTGCATGCGGCAGGTCTTTGATAAATTCCCTTTTTTAAATGAGTGGAGCCACTGAAGGATCCACTCCAAAAATGATGCTTAAATTTGTTCTAGTCTTAAGCTGTTTTGCACCTTCTTCTAGCATGTTCATGGACCAGTGGAATTTTCAGCCAACTCTAATTTGTTTGGGTCCACATACAGTCTCCAGAGCTGGTCCTCCCAGGATTAGTCAGAGAGAACCTTAGCATCACCTATGCAAAAGTCAAAACCCAAGGTGTGGCAGACATTGTCCTCATTCCTGTTCGGTGCCTGGTGATTGAGGTCTGAGCCACATAGACCACACTTGTCTTCAAGGCCACTCCCATCTCCACTCCTTGCCCAGTGGTCAGAAGAGTCTTCTATACTTGGGAGACAGCACATCACCTGCCACCAACAGCTTTGTTGTCTGTGCTCCCTCTTCAGCCTTCAGCCCCAGTCACAGTAATGACAAACCTGAGATCCTAAGATCCTCATCCCCTTGGCTTCAGTGTTCTTGGGGATGAAGAAGTCCTTAAAAATTGTAGCCCCCCCCACACACACACACATACACACTTTGAGCATCAGGCCTGGGTCTTAAGAAGAGAGCAGGGTATGTCCATGTCTACAAAGCATTGCATGCCAGCCACCATGTCTGATGTCTTCTCCGTGAGAATGCAGATGCTATAAACAAAGCCTCCCTCATCAGTTCCAGAGGACATAGCCACGCTCCTGCCAATTCCAGAGCAGTTTCTCCAGGTCTAGCAAAGCCAACAACTAGAACATGCTGATGGCCTCTACATTGTGAGAGGTAGAACAACTCTTGGAACTGTCCTCAGAAGACTTCCACTGACTTGAGACTCTCAGGCAAGGGAGACAGCCAATATCCTTCACAAGTTTCCGGAAGTTCTTCCGAAACTTGAGGCCAACGAAGGCATAGAGCACAGGGTTAAGGCAGGCCCGTAGGTATGCAATGGCCTCTGTCACCAGGATGGCATAGTCAAAGCTGGTCATGGTATAGTACTCCCAGCTCGTACTGCGAATGAGCTTGACAAGATTGAAGGGTGTCTGGGTGAGCAGGAACACGGCCACCACGAGGAAGATGATCTTTAGAGATTTGTGCTTCCGGAAACCTCGAGCATGAAGCAGAGTCTTGATGATGACGGAGTAGCAAATGATCATGGCAAGCAGTGGCAGGAAGAACCCCAGAGACATCTGGGAGGCAAGAACCATGGTGGAAATCTCCTCATCATGGTAGCCGCAGATGACCTTGTCGAGATGTAGGACATTGCTATAGATGATCTGTGGCAAGGACACCAGCAGGGAGACTACCCAGATAATCAAGCAGATGACCTTGCCACAGATCATCCGCTTGGCCTGCTGGTTGTAGGCCTTGGTGGCCTGAACCACAGCGATGAAGCGATCCACGGTGATGCAGGTGAGGGTGAGCATGGACGTGTAGAAGTTAATCGTGTATATGCCCCGGAGGATCTTGCACATGACCTGGCCGAAGACCCACTCATGGAAGCCTGCGTAGGCCCAGAAGGGCAGAGTGCAGACAAACACTAGGTCAGCCAGGGGCAGGTTCACCAAGAATACATCTGTCAGGCTCTTCAGCTTCTGGTAGAAAATGTACACGACCAGCACCAGGGAGTTCCCCACCAGGCCAGAGATGAACACTGCCGCATACACACAGGGCAGGAAGATCTTTCTGAACTGCAGGAAGCCCTCGTGCACCTTGTTACTGTCGCTGGAGGTGTTGAAGAGCATGGGATCTGAGTAATCGTACTCCTCCATGGCATCTGCTCTGAGGTTCTCCTGTGAGTGAAAACCCAGGAATTATATTTGGAACTGAGAGTGGCACTCCTGTCTTACCACTGCCCCCTGTAGGTACAAGTAGGCATCACCCCCTAGTGTTCTGCCTGGTAACAGCAAAGTCAAGCATACTGCAGGTGACCAGTTCCTAGGGGAAGCTGTTCAGACCAGATGAGGAACACTTTGTTAACCCTAGAATTCTCAGGATCTCACCCAGCTAGTCCCCACACACATCCCATAAAACCCTTCCCTCAGTGGTTTCAAAAACAAAATCCACCATGCATTCCAGTAGGTACAGTCCCCTTTGCTCCACACGAGGGGGCCTGTCCTCATCCACCCAGGCCTCACAGCAGCTGTCTGCCCATCCTCTGCCCCATTTGCGAAATTTCTGAAGCTCAAGTAAGTGAGGTTCTCCTGTCAGGAAACTTCTGGTGACCAGAGATGTTTGGGGATGACAAGGACTTCTGTCAGGGTGGGAAGTCCTTCCTGCTTACATCTCCTTAAAAGGGTGACAGGTGGAAAAGGAAGGCACTGGAAAAGCTCACATTGCCCAGTACCTTGGCTGAGCTGGCTTCATGACCAGAGAGTTGGGTGGCTGTCCTCACTCTCCATCCAGATTTTCCCCATAGCATCTGTCACAGTTCATGACAGCCACCATCAGAGACCTTTCCTGAAGACTTTTTAATCTTTAGGAATCTCTTTAAAGGCGGATTTCCCCGGGAAGGGCCATGCCTTAGTGTCTAGGATTAGTATTTTGGGTCTTCTTTCACAAATGGAAGACCCAATTGAAATGGGCGCCAGCTGGGTGACCCTAGCAGTGAGACTTTCTTGCTTGGGGCTCCTTGCGGACAACGCACTCACTTCCATCTGACCCTTGTTTGCCCTGTGGCCCTGCTAAGGACATGAGTGATGTAACCTGTGGTTGGGCTAAAGAATGCCAGGCCAGCCTAGCCACTTTAGCCCTTTAGCCCTTGCCAGCTCATTCCAGTGACCCAGGTTCATAACCCTCCAGCTCCTCCAGAAGATGTCTTAAGAAGAGCAGGTATTTAGACAGAGCCCCTTGCAGGGTTCAGCACATTCAAAAACCCGAGAGGCCAGATGACAGCATATAAAGGTGAGGCCATCTCCCCTCTTTAATCCAGTGGAGATACTTCTTTTCCTACAAACAATTGAGTCCGATTGGAAGCAGCGCACCCTGGTGCTCCTGTGGACTCTATCTTTCCTGGGGCCAGAAGTGCCTTTTCCCCACTTCAAAGGACAGCATTGCTCAGTAAATAGTCCCCATACTTAGACCACAGAAGGTCAGATCTCTAAGGATGATAGGTGAACCAGTAGGTATCCTGCCAAAAAGCTTTCTCGAGTACTAACTTAAGTAGGTCAGATGGTGATCTGTATGTGTTATTACTTCATTGGGGACAATAACTTTTTTTTTATTCATTTAAAGTAAGAAACAGACAGCTCTCCTTATCTTGAGGGTATGGTCCAACTCCTTATTACATAATTTATTCTTGTCTTCTTTTATCCTCTTCCAGCTTTTGCTGGATCTTTACACTGGCACTACACATTTACCCAAAGGACCTGTACAAATATCTGTGGAATAATTGGTAAACTTAAGTATAATGCTGGCAGATGGGGACTGGACAGCTCTGTGCAGATAGAATATTAAAAATCACTGCCCCTAGAGGAAAAATCACAAGCATCCATTTCTTTATCTTCTGTAATCAAAATCTTATGTTGATTTCTGAAAATTAAAGTATCTTGGTAATAATGTAAAAAGACTGGTAATAAATAAATGATCATTACAATTCAGACATAGGATATGACCAAAATGTTTTAAAAGTACCTTCAATTGTTTGGGGAAAAAATGCATTTACATGATTGGAACAGTGTAAACACAAAGTAAATATGAAAAAGTTATTTGTTAATATGAAAAATTTATTAGTTAAAATGAAAAAAATTATTAGCTATAACTGTTACAACAAATAGGTGGCAAAAAATAATTTTATTCTGATTCTTCGCCTTTTTTATTCATAAACCCCTTTAAAATTGCAGGGAAGCTATAGATCTTTTCTCAGAAATAATATATACACACACCTGCAATTCTAGAAGTTCGTGAGCCCCATATTTTGTGGACCCTTGATTGATAATCTATGATAGGTGATAAACTTTATAATTGTGATTTTTATTTTTTTAAATTGAAAAATAACCACATTTTATCATCAGTTTCCCTCCAGCTGGTAAAATTGTGAATAACTTAGTTCCTCTCATCCTTTATATTTTTCTATAGTAGCCAAAGTTTCTACAGTGGCATATTGTTTTATACTGAAAAAAGAAAACAAACAGTAATCTGGAATAATAGCTTGTTTTATAAAATGCAAAAGAAATGAAAGGAAGACAGATTATTCAGTGAACAAATATGGACAGTAACAAGACTCTCTTTACCTCCCTGGTGTCTGTTTACACCAGTCCGAGCAGTCCTCTCAGCTTATGGGCACCTACTGTGTGCCCAGAACCAAGAGTCAGTAGTTTCACATTTCTCTAATTTAATCCTCAAAGCAGCAAACGGCATCAGTGGAATGAGAACCAAGCACAGATGAACCCCGTAGCCTGGCCATTTTGCTCTGTGCCCTGCTGCAGGCAGTAGTCTGAGAACCCCAACCTGCCTAAGGTTAACCCCCTTCTCACTATAAAGAAAAAGACAAATGACTCACCAGCACAAGTGCCCTGTCAGTTTGTTCTAGAGATGAGCTTGCTCACCAAGCAAGATCTGCCTCTACTCCTCCGTGATGTGGTCTGTGTTTCCGTTGCACATTTAAGCACTCTTGGCTGGTAATTTAGAGTTCCTCCCCTACCTCCATCCTACAGGTCAAAATATACATGGCCAGCCTGCACATGTAATTTGGGGGTCAAAGATAAACACGACTCTGATGCCTCACACCCCTCTCTTCCTGTTTTGACACTCAAGCTTTCACCAGGACCTGAGGGTCAGGTATTTGTAAACCAAAGGCAAGCAGTTAAGTTTGGCTGTGTCAGTCCACTAAAGAGGGTGATGTTTGTCCCTTCACATTATTTCATTCCCTAACCACACATCTCTTTGGAACAGTTTGGGTCAGGACCAAAGTTAAGTTCATGCTGTGGGCTCATCTGTATGTGTACACAGAGCTCCAACCAGCAGCCCTGTAGAGTGGTATTATCCCCATTTTTAAAATTGCTGTTTGTTCTAATTAGTTATACATGACAGAAGAGTGCATTTGGATTTATTGTACACAAATGGAGCACAGCTTTTCATTTCTCTGGTTGTACATGATGTAGAGTCACTCCATTCATACAATCATACACAAATCTTGGGTAATGATAATAGGCAAAAACGCTATATAAAGCGAAACTGGAACCAAAATTGTAGCCCCCGGTACACATGGCTAGTAACTGGTAATTCAAAGAGCCAAACTCAGGTTTCAGTGAATGCTTAACCAGTGGCCCAGAGCTGTTAGGGTGCCACTGCCAGGATCCAGGGGTGAGGCATTACTGCTCTTGGGAGGAGAGGTTAGCTGTAAAGCTCTGGTGGGTGGCAAGGGCTGTGGAGGATGAGTTCATGGCTAAGACTTCTGGCTGGTGACTCTGCCAGAATGCCTGGTACAGCCCTGTCTCAACCACAACACACAGGCCCCCTGGCAGGCAGTGCCCACCCACCAAGCTAACCTGCATGACCTCGCTGGTTTCATGGGGCTACCCTCTCCACACCTGGAGTCCCCCAGATGTTGGCATCTTGACCTCAGCACAGCTGGAGTTAATCCCCGTGGTCCAGCATTACTGACCCTTTTAGGAAATCACACCTGGAAGACAGGAATGGAAGGAATATCTTCCTGGGTCTCATTCTCCACCAGCTCCAGGGGGTGAAGGCAGTAGGAAGAGGTGTGGGCTCCCTTTCTGCCACCCCACAAGATTGGTGCTGTCCTGCCCAGCAAAACTGGTGGCTCTTCCTGAGGGTGGATGTCAGGAATTGGAAGTAGAGACCAGTAGCAACCTCAGGATCCAGAAACTAACATCAATTTACTGTGAACCAGTAAAATTGTGCACTGTGCTGGATGTTTCCCTTGAACAACTGTCTAATCCTAGTCACTTCCTAATCATTTACAGATGAATAAATGGAAGATTAGAGTTAACAAGAACATACATGTCCCTAAGAATCACCTAGCCTGTGCTTCTTAACCTGATCTTTCTGAGTATGGAACTGTCCCAGGGAGCCCCAGTTAAAGATCTGCAGACCTCTAATTGGGTTTTCAGGCCTTGTATGAATTAACTAGTTCAAATTGTCCTTTCCACCAAAGTACAAATGAGTGAAATGTTCTTTCAGGGCAAGAATCAAGAGGCCATGTGAATGCAGGGAACAGTGGACAAATGAATAAATGAAAGTGCTGAGCCAAATACTGCAGGGGAGATGAACCAAAGCCCCCATCTTTCCAAAAGGACTTTTAGGGCAGGATAGCCTTTAGGGTAAGACTGCCTAACGCTGGAATCTTTAAGCTGTGAGAGATTAGTTTTTTCCAGGGACAAGTCAGCTATGCCAGGGTGGTGTTAGAATGACCAGAGCCTTGTCAAACCTGTTTGGCTGCCTGTGCTCATGAGAGAATCACTCATGTCATGGGGAAGAATGGAGGCCTGTCCCCAGTGCCCTCCATGATCATGCATGCATGCCCACAAGTGTTTGGTGGGGGGCACCTATATTTGAGAAAGCATGGCACATTGTCATGACCACCCTCTAATGGCAAGTTCTGGGTAGCATAGAAGACCTGCAACTAAAAAGGAACCAAGCTACTCGCAGTCTGAGGGCCAAAGTTTAGTTCAAAACCACTTTACAAAATGCCTTTTATTATTTGCAGTACTGATTGTACCAAGGGCATTACTTTTCTCTGAAACAAACCTCTCAACTTGAGGGTTAGTACCCAGTCGTATACATCTTAGATTTACCATGAATTATTGAACATCTTCTAAGTTTAATTGGGAGGAGAATAAAAGGGAAGTGACAGACATCCCTGCTGCAGATTTAACACTGTTAACTTGCTCACTTTTTCTGGAGACCTGGAATTCTCAAGTCAGAGCTGTGGGGTGCCACTGCCAGAATCCAGGGGTGAGGCATTACTACTCTTGGGAGGAGAGTTTAGCTATAAAGCACTGGTGGCTGGCAGGGCTGTGGAGGATGAGTTCATGGCTAAGATCCCCAGACTGGTGCCTTGCTCAGCGGCATCTGGCACTGGTCATGAGGATGGGCTGCAGGTTTGCATGTTGTGGTCAGAGCATAGGCACCAAGTCATCAGGACTCGAGATACTAAAAGTGTTCTTTTGGTTTTTAAGCAAAAAAGGAAGCCAGTGACTAAATGGAAAACTACTAGGAATTTTCTTTATAATGAAACTGACAAAATAATTTAGTAAGACAGTAGTAGTAAAATAAATTCAATAGAAAAATATAAAAAAGTGCCCCACATCCCAGAGTGTGGTTCAAGCCAGCCTTCCACACCGGCACTAGTCAGCATAGCTGTCTGCCATCATGGACATGCCCTCTACTGCACTGTCCAATGCAGTGGCCACCAGCCGTGGGGTGATAGGGTGCTCAACGAGTGGCTAGTGCAGCCTAGGAACCAAGTTTTTCATTTTCTTTGGTTCTGATGAGCGTAACTACTGGCTGCTCTATTGGACAGTGCAGAGCTGGCCTGAAGACCTCTCCAGTTCACAGGTGACTGTTCACAGAGGGAGGCAACCAGAGGGACTGGAAGAGTGTGCAGAATCGGGCAGAGCAACACTCCTAACCATGCAGGGCTCAGCAGGACAGAGGGCAATTGATGGAGCCCTCTGAGGAAGATCATCAGCAAGACCTCTGGGGCTGCTGGGTGTTCCTTAGCCAGACTGTAAACAGGCAGAAATTCTGCTTTCCAGGCTGTGTGAAGGGTTGAAATTGTATAGTAATTCAATAAAAAACAGGCGGAGGCATTTTGATTTGTGACAGATTCCAGCAGGAGGGACCCCACCATGACACCTCACCCCAGAGAGGTGGCCTCTTGGACCGCATTGCATTGTGGGGGCAGTCTCAGCTCCTGCCTTGTGTGAACTCTCCACTTGATTCCTAGTGGGTTCTAAAGGGAAACCTTGGTTGCATCCCCCCTTGAGAGCATTTGGTGTAGGAGAAAAACCTTATGCTGAGGCACATTACACAGGCATTTATTGAGCTCAGGCTCTTTGTGCAGCAAGTTGCACAGGAATACCAGCTGACCACCCCCAGAGAGATGAGCAAGTCATTAGACTGCTGTGCATGTGCCAGAGAGGAAACTCAGCAGGAAATGGTGGCATGTTATCAGCAGTAGGAAGCCACCATATCTTACAGGAAGCCCCACAGCAAGGGGAGAAGGAAGGACTTGCGAGCAGTTAAGTCCATCCGGCTTCTTTTCTAAAAAACCAGCTCAACAGTAAGAAAAGCAAATGGCTATAGTAGGAGATAGGGCGCCCTCTAGTGGTGTTACATGTTCACCATCCTCAAACTTGATCCATTGACCACCACCAACAGAGTTGCCATATCCCACAGTAGTGGGTTTTACACAGCCACTCAGATGTATACACATGGTTACATAAAGTTAAAACAGGCGCCTCATAAAACAGTAGTTATCCTTCCAACATGCAATGTGCTATAGAATTCAGGTTTCCTATTTTATTTGGTTGATTTTTATGTTAGTCATGACCTATTAAATTAATAGCCCACGCAATGGATCATGACTCACATGAAAATCC